TGCATCCTTAAAGTTTTTCCTTCAGCAATGTATTAAATGAAATCATGCCGTATCTTGTGAAAAATACAGCATCTTGCATTAAACACAACAAACGATGGTCAGAAAGCTTGCATGTCTTACACCTGCACCGAAGAGTTAAAAGGAGTCTGGATGAGGTGGTTTTCATAATGTCTTAAGGTCAGAGACATTCCGTCCCCATTAATCTCACGGGTGTGAGACTTGTCCTGTTGGAGTAAATGGCCATGCTTGAGAGGACAGACGACTGAGCGTGAAAGATGTGAGACACAGAACCTAGCCTGCGTTTTAAATAGCCATCTAATTATTTTGTTGTAGGTGACACCAGGTTCATAAGTGACAAAAGTTTATAAATAAAGAGGGTTTTTTTTCTGCTAGATGAGAATAGGAGATGGCCTGTTTCCTGCATGTTTTTAATCCTGCAAATATCACAAACATCAGCTCTGGTATTTGTGAGACTTCCCTCTGGGTGACTCCTGTGAAGATTAGAAGCTTTTCCAGTCTCCGATTGAATGGGAAGACATGCTGAGTTTTTGGCAAAGAGCATGTGTCTCCAACATTTCAATCGAACAAGTGTTAACAAAAACAAATCTAGCACTGAAAAAAAAAAACCAACAAGAAGAATCCCACCAGAATAAAAACGACTGCCCCTCTCAAGGAACTGGGGTCTCTTTCTTGGAGATCACAGGTACGAAATATGTTAGTTGGGCATCAAAGCCCACAGGCTGGACTTCACTTGTAAGTCCAGAACAACAGCAAAAAATACATTTGTACCTGATTCAGATACATCCAGAAAGAAAAGGAAAAAAAAAGAAAAAAGGCAAAAAAGGGCCAAACCTGAACCTTCAAGAAGTTATTCCCTGCCCTGAGCCTGCCTTCATACCTTTAAGCAGTGAGCAGAGAGCTTGCAGGCACCCCCCGCACCCTCATGCCCTCAGTGTCAGGTGCTGGGATTTGTGGCCCTGCCATGTTCGGGGAGGGAGGGGGGCAACTGTGACCCCCGCAGCTCCCCGAAGCCCACACTCTCAACTGAGAAGTTTAAAAGGCTCTGGATCTGCAAAGCCCGATTTTGAGCCCACAGCCCCGCTAACAGATGGGAGGCAGACAGCACTGGGGATCAGGCCTTACAGTTTCCGAGGTATCATTAAAACTGTTTTCAGCTGCCAGTCCTCAAGGAGCCGCGGTCACACACGGGCTCCTCGTCCTTCGGATGCCTCAGATTCCTCACAGCCAGGCAGGGGCACCTTCAGTGTAGCTGTGTGGTATCCGTGAGGAAAGGACCCTGGGCTGTAGGCCTTGAGGGAATATAGGCAGTAACAATCCCAAACAATAACCTAATGACACTCCGAGTGATTTTCAACATGAAAGCAACAGTCTGGTTTTCATTAAGTTATCACTTCATCATGTTCCCTGATTGCATTCATTCACGCCTTAGCTGCCTACAGTCGCGATTTAAAAAAAAAAAAAAATACATATTCATAGGTAAGAAAATAGGCTCTGCTCCACATTTTAGTGTCAAAAGCAAGTTGGGGTGAAGGGCTCCTCTGGGAGCCCTCCGTGGCCGCCTGCCCGGGGCGCGCCGGCGAGAGGCGGTTTGCGATATCGAGCCTTAGTGAATCGAGGGGGGGAACGTGTGACATTTAATTTGACAGATCTCTCGGCAGAGATCACCCCCTTCCTCCTTGCACCCCCCCCTCCTTCCGACGAGGACTGCAGAGAAGCACTGCCCCGCTGCCGCCGCCCCGCACAAACCCCGCGCAAACCCTGCGCTCCCCTGCGCAAGGAGCCCCGCGGGCTGCAGGCGGGACAGAGTGCACGTCTGGACAGACGGACGGTGATCATCAAAGGCGTCGCTCGCCCCATTAGGGACATAGACCCCGGCTTCTCCTTGGCGGCTGCTCGGGGTTTCCTCTCTGGAGGGGGGAGAGGGGAAAAAAGGAAAAGGAAAAAAAGAAGAGGAGAAGGAAAAAAAACGAAAAAAGGAGAAAAACGAAAAAAGGGGAAGAAAGGAAAAAGAAAACAGGAATTAAAAGGAAAAAAGGAAAAAGAAAGGGAAAGGGGGAAAGGGAAAGGGAAAAAGGAAAGGGAAAGGGAAAGGGAAAGGGAAAGGGAAAGGGAAAGGGAAAGGGAAAGGGAAAGGGAAAGGGAAAGGGAAAGGGAAAGGAAAAGGAAAAGGAAAAGGAAAAGGAAAAGGAAAAGGAAAAGGAAAAGGAAAAGGAAAAGGAAAAGGAAAAGGAAAAGGAAAAGGAAAAGGAAAAGGAAAAGGAAAAGGAAAAGGAAAAGGAAAAGGAAAAGGAAAAGGAAAAGGAAA